CGCTCTACAGCCCAGATGTGGCCTCCCCGGACTTTTTTTGTTTCCTCGCCTGAAAAAGCCGATGAAAGGCAAGCATTTTGAGACGACAGAGGGGATCCAAGCAGCATGCACCGCGGCTCTCAAGGCTATTCCGGAGAATGCCTTCCGTGACGCCTTCAATGCTTGGAAATCGCGCTGGCAGCGCTGCATCGACGCAGAAGGAGCCCATTTTGAAAGTTTTTAAAGAATTGTAACGATTGGCTCAATAAATTTTTTTAAATCGACTCAGTCCTATTACTTTCCGGACAAACCCTGTAGATCTTGATTTACAAGTACATTGTGATTATGCTACCGTCGTGCTATTTTATTTAGCGTAAGCAATAATTTTATATATTTGCTTTTACGATATTCTTTACAATGTTGGTAATAGTTTGGAACGATATAACAGCCATGATATAACAGTAGCTCCCAAATAGCGTTGTCAGGTTAGTTTTGAATTATTTCAAAATTTAGGCATACGTTAATACTAATTTCGTCTAGTAAGTATAAGAGAAATCAATAGCGTTAACAGTTAACATGTTTGCTTTGCATTTACATTTTTTGAACAGAATCAATCCCAAGCTTTTTCGCTGAAAAAATAAGTCCATGTATTATTTGACGATGGCCAGTTCTTGGTCTAGATGAAAATTCGACTTTCTCTCTTTGCCCGGATTTAGCCTATGTGCTTTAAAAATATTAAAGAGGGGCATGCTAATAGGTCAATATTTGAGTGTAATTTTCAATAATAAGCAATGAAAAATATGATTAATATGATTCTTTTGCTTAAGTTATATACCACTAACCCTATTTCCTGCTAAAGGCACGTAAGTACATCCATAAACATTTAAACAAAGTTGTACAGAACCAAGCCTTCGTGTAAGCAACTTACATATCAAAATACTAAAATTATCTGTTACATATTTATAATAAGTGACATATAAATCCGAACACCCAGTTTAAATGGTTTTATTTTAATAAAAGTTGGTGAATGTATTTATATTACTGTAAATAACAAGTGAAAAATTTTTCAGCCTTATCAGTTGGACATTCCGGTTTTTATACTGCTTTTTTTTAATTCACTAACGCTCTAAAAATGAATATTTCAGCCGCAGTAAAGAATCAACGTTGGCGGATTTTGGTTCTTGACATCCTTTACGATAGGTTACGATGCCTAGAGTACGGAGACCTGTACGATTTCGTCAACTTAGTGAGTTTGATAGGGGCCGTGTAGTGGGACTTCGGGAAGCTGGACTTTCTTTTCGGGCAATTGCAGTTAGAGTGCAAAGAAGTGTAGACACTGTGGTTAGGTGTTGTCAGGCACGGCTTCGAGAAGGCCGTACGCAAAGAGCAAGGGGCACTGGACGCCGCCGTAGAACATTAGACCGTGAAGATCGCCGCCTAAGATTATTGGCCTTAAGGGATCGTTTCTCCACGACCAGGACCATTGCAAATGAATGGTTTGCAGAACACGGAAGACCTATTGGCATGCGAAGTGTTTACCGACGAATGAGAAGTTTTGGCTTGTTTTCATACCGGCCACACTGGGTCCTCCCTTTAACTCGAGAACACCGACGTAATCGCCTTGAGTGGTGCAGACAACGGTCACTCTGGTATCAGGAATGGAACAGTATTGTCTTTAGTGACGAGTCTCGATTTTGTTTAGGCATGCACGATGGTCGTGCCAGGGTTAGAAGGCGACGTGGTGAAAGAAGGAATCCACAGTTTTTTGTTGAAAGACATGTTCATCACACTGTTGGAGTTATGTTTTGGGGTGCTATAGCTTATGGTTCCAGGTCACCTTTAATCTTCATCAGAGGTAACATGTACGCGCAGCGTTATATCCACGAAGTTCTAGAACCCCATCTTCTACCCTATCTTGACACCCTGGCAGATCCAACTTTCCAACAAGATAATGCCCCACCACATGTTGCAAGAGTCACAATAGACTTCTTTCAACATAGTGATGTCACATTGTTACCATGGCCACCAAGATCTCACGACTTATCCCCAATTGAGCACGTGTGGGATATGATGGGTAAGAGATTGCTCAATTTGCAACGTCCTCTTCAGACTCTAGAAGCACTTCGAGAGGAGTTGGTGGTTGCCTGGAATGAGATACCACAGGAGGACATTGACCACCTGATCAGAAGCATGCCTAGGCGCGTTGGAGAATGCGTAGCACATCAGGGTGCATCCACACATTATTAAAGGTCAAAGGGCTTTAAAGCAGTGCAATCATTTTGAAATGTTTATCTTTTACTTATTATGCTTCATTAAGTATTCATACAAAATTTTATTAAAATAAAACCATTTAAACTGGGTGTTCGGATTTATATGTCACTTAGTATATTTTGTAAGTAAATAGGATTCTGTGAAGTCGGCCGATTACGACTGTACCGAGCTGACAGAATAACACGCTAGGTGCAAAAAGATGGTGACATTGTTTGTCTCATTCGTAGGTACAATTCATTCAGCTGAACCACAACGTCGCTCGACGAATAGGACGTTAAATATTCGCTTATTTTGCAATGAACAGCATCCCGATATAAGCATTGGAACAAATTCTGGAAAAGGTTTTTGTAATATTTTTGAAACAATGTCATAATATATCTCCCAGGCAAGATGAAGTAATAAGTACTTCTTTGTTTTGGTTCAGTTTATGACCTCAATGTTAGTTTCAAATAAATCACATTACATCTTTAGTTGAGAGACGCTGGCGATTCCCAAATTACATCAGAAAGAATGGCGCCAAGGTGGCCCAACACACTGTCAGCGACATTGAGGGACACTATAAATGTTTTGACTACAAAATTTAATCACGTCTTCCTCTTGCTTATGTCTAGTTAAATACATAATTTTATTCAAATAAAATCATTTTTTACTGACTGTTCAATTATTTCCTTTGCCACTGAGTATACAGTGAAAACCTTGTATCACTGACATCGTAATGTGTACAAGAGACAAGCGCTGCCTGTCATGCTTTCGATGGGAAGGCTGTTGATGGTAAGGAGTACCACAGGGATTTGTTTTAAGGTCTATGCGTGTACCGACATATCGCTTCCCAGACTATACTGCTATTCCGTTCAAGAGAGGCAAATGATTGTAACGGGAGCATTTTAATCCGGTAAGTAGTGCCCTGGAGGCACAATGGGCGCTAAGTGGGAGGGCCGACAGGCCGCCTTCACGTCGACACCGTCGCCAGCGGCTTGCTTGGGGTGTGGGTTCGCCACCGAAAGCAGGAATAATGCTATAGCCAGAAGAGAAAGGCTCGAGAGCTCTCGGGTAGTTAATTGATGGTCTTTTGCTGAACGGGAGGGCCACACTGCTTTGTTCAACTGTTTTGCTATTATACCCGAGCGTTTGTTGGGTGTTTGTTCTTTTCCAAAAGGTTTCATTACTTAGAATGGTGAGAACAGCAGAACGACTTAAAGTGGACCACGTGTGAGTCTAAGCCTGGTGTTTCGATCGCTGGTTAACTTTGAAGTTTGGTAACTGTAATATTTGTAAGTTGACTGGTAGTTGTCCGTAAATCCGCTTTTCCGTTGACCAACAAGCAAGGGGGCATCCATTAATGACGTGACATCTTAGTTAGATGTTATGAGGTAAGGCTTGACCTCCTCTCCCAACCCCTTCTAACGAGATATTTTCCAATATTTGTAATTTTAGTGTAAATGTGTAGGGTTACCATTTTTTTTATTTGACTGTCGACGACTAGCTAACATAAATCACTTATTGCGGAACTGCAATTCAGTGCTGCTATCATTCTGAACGTGGACGTTCAGCGTCAGCAAGAGGCGTCAACATTTTCCCGAATCAGGATTTTTCGAACACTTCATTTCATCCAATTTTCTTGCAATTTTACACATTTTTTTGCGGGCAAAAATCACGTAATATTTGTCGAGAATTCATCTCTCTCATGAGAGATTGGGTGAGATTCAGCTGCTTCTAGTCTGAATTGCCACATTCTATACATTTTACACACTCAAGATTTGTGTCTCTTGTCATCCGTGACAACTGATATCACTGCCAAGCCAAACATACTAGAGAAATTAATAGTAATAATACGAGGGATGTCTTTTAAGTTTTGCATATAGAAATATAGTAGGCCACGTGGATCGAACGTCAGTACTGAATCTTAACCTACCTCTCTTGTAAACCTAAAGTTTCACAACAATCCAGTGTTCTCACTACAGTGAATTTTTAAGTGTCACCAAGTCATTAGAAAAATGGAACTCAACCGAGAACATTTTCGCGCCATAATTTATTACAACTTTCAGAGACAATTATCGCAACAAAAATGCCTTGCTTAGTTACTGTCTGTTTTCGGCAACGAAGCGCCACATCAGTCGACAATTTCCCGTTGGTATGGAGAATTCAAACGTGGACGGGTGAGTCTTAGCGACGATCCCAGGTTGGGTGCACCAAAACCGGCAGTCACACAGGAAAACGTCGATGCTGTGCGCAAACTCATCATTGAAGATAGACATGTGACATATCGCGAGATTGAGGCGTCCTTGAAGATCTCGAAGACCTCAATTCGAAAAATTTTACATGAAGAATTGGGAGTAAGAACATTAGTTTCTCGTTGGATACCCCACCTGTTGACTGAAGAGCAGAAAGCAGCCAGGGATAATTGGTGTCAAAAAACACTTGACCGTTTCAATTCCGGAAACTCAAAAAATGTGTACAGCATTGTTAGTGGTGATGAATCGTGGATTTACTGTTATGAACCAGAAAATAAACGGCAGTCGGCTGTTTGGGTGTTCCAAGGTGAAGAAAAGCCAACAAAAGTCATCCGTTCTCGAAGTGTTTCGAAAAAGATGATCGCGACATTTGTGTCAAAAGCGGGTCATATTGCAACAATTCCTCTTAATGAGCAAAGAACTTTTACTGCGGATTGGTATACCACCATTTGTTTGCCAAAAGACATCACCGAGCTCCGAAAAATCAACCCCGAAAGAAGAAGCATCCTCCACCAAGACAATGCAAGCTTGCACACAGCCCAAAAAACAAGGCAGTATTTAACGGAAGAAAACGTGGAATTATTGGACCATCCTCCATATAGTCCCGATATAAGTCCTAAAGATTTCTTTACTTTCCCGAAAATTAAAAACAGACTGCGTGGTCAAAGCTTCCAGTCACCAGAAGAAGCAATTGACGCATTCAAAAATGCCGTTTTGGATCTGCCAGCAAACGAGTGGAATAAGTGCTTCGAAAATTGGTTCGAGCGTATGCAGATGTGTATTAATCTTCGTGGAGAATACTTCGAAAAACAATAAAGTCATTTAAAACTACCTACCGTGTTGTTTTACTTCCATATGCATCCCTCGTAATGTGCATTTATTTAACTTTGCGTACACAAAATAAGACAAAAAATAATATCTTGAAAACAGCAGAAATGCAAAATTGAAAAGGACTATTACCCCAGGGGTATTTTTAAACTCAACCTTTCAAAAAAAAAAATTGTACCTGTGTCATGAACATATTTAAGAGAAAGCCCAATAATAAAGATAAATATAAGTAACAATGATATTCATAATAACTATTCCGTAAGATGTACCTAGTGCCTAAGATAAACGAACTAACAATAAAAAAATGTGGTGAGTTTCAGATCATCAATTTAACAATGACAACTTTCACAATAAAACGTATTCGTTCGCCTATTTCTATTACGGAATGAAATTTTATCTAAAAGGTATTCCGGCTTTTTGTTCACGAGGACTTTGTGGACTAGTGATAGGAAATGCAATATTCTTAATCTATCTAAACTTAGAATGTTGCGTTCTTTGAATAAATGGCTTATATGATCAAACTTTCTTATAACAAACGAGAATCGCAGGCACGATTTTTGTACTCGCTGTAATTTTAAGCACCCTTTTTTTAAAAGGGCCGGGCCATATATGTTGTCACAGTAGGATAGGCGAGATATTATAAGAGCATATACACATAAATTTATTTTCAAGCTAATACATATTCAAAACACTACGCTGTGGATCTAATCCTTTTAACATACTATCCGCTGAGGAGGAAATTTTATTGACATGGCCACTAAATCGAAGATCTTAATCAAACCACAATCCCAAATTTTTGTTCTCACCAGCTACAGGTACTGGTATATTAATGAAGTGACGACGAAAAAAGAGTTTTCATGGTAACTTGAGTCGCAATTTGATAGTACTGACCACGTACTGATTACTGACTACAGAATTACAAAACCTTGTTAATTTTTTATCACAGAAAAGTTTCGGTAATGTTTGTGTCCAAATCGGACAAGAACCGAATAGGTTTAGAATCATAGGACCACAAAAGGACAAGTATCCTGAAAAGCAGCAGAACTATAGTACAATGAAAGGCTAGCTTGATTATATACGTTATATATATATATAACAGAAATCAGGAAAATTCAATTTATGTGCATCACTGTCTATATCTTGCATTTATTTTTATCTGTGATCTAACACACATATTTCTATCATATTTTAACCACAATGTTTTTATAACTAGAAATTCTTTATTTAAGCTTATCTAGCTTTAAAAATTCTGGCAACGGCGCTCAATAAGGAGAATATAACCTTACGAAATAACTTCATAACTAAAGGAGCTTAAGGGAATAAGGAAGTTCATAACGATGGATCAAAACAAGAGGACCAAAAACTATTGCGGTTTAGCTGCAACTTTCTAGTCAATCCGCTGATAATCTTTTGATCAATGTTAACTAACATTTAAGACCTGACACTGAAAAAGGCGTAAAAACATAGTTGATCTGCAATTGAAAAACTGTTGCTTATAGGATGGTTATAACATAGATTACCCGAAACAGTGATGTATGCAGAAATGCATAGAAGTGAATTGATTGAAACAGTTGGAAAATAAGAAAAATTGCTAACCAAGATAATACAGGGTGGGCCATTAAGTTGACCCGATTTTAAAAATACTACAAAGTGTAGGGGAGATAAATTATATTTTCTATAAAGTAGTCAGATGGGACTTTTATTTTTTTTTAAATAAAGCCATCAAGACGCACACACTGCTCGAATCTGGACTTTAAATTCTTGGAAACTCGCTGGCACATCGCTCGTGGGATAGCGGACATCTCCTTGCGAATGTTGTTTTTGAGTTGGACAAACTTAAGTGCCCCTCACTTCGTTGGATAAAACGGCTATTAAATCGTACTCCAATCTTGAAAATCGAAGTTTTTGCCACAATCAATGACTTCAAATGGTGTAGGTTTCACAGGGAAATTTTTCAATTCATCTCACCAGTCATCCGGTACCTTAGTGTATGGCTCTTTGGTTCACGAGACTCATATCTATAGCGCTCGAGGTATGAATACCCCTGATCGGCCATAATACTTTCACAGTAGTAAAACGATTTTTCTTGGTAAACAAGTAATGTAGAAACCGAATAACTGTAAAGTTTTTATTTTGCCCTGCGCAGTAGTCACAGAAAATGGCAAGTTCTTTTACTTCCATACACAGGATGTTATAAAAAAAGTGATACAGCATAGAACAGACATCGTCAGCTCCTTTTTTAGCAATAGATTTATCGTAGGTATAAAAGATTTTGAGTTTGACAGAATGTGGATGTTAAAACTGATGAAATTTAGTTGCCGCTTTTAGTAAACATCATTTGTCGTAATATTTGGACATGTCAAGTTTTTTTTGGTAATCCATCGTGATACTTTCGATAGCGGGGAACTTTGATGCACGTTCCGAATCCTTTTCTGATGTAGCGTCTTCTCAAGTATCTTTTTCTCCAAATTATTACTTGCTGACTGCCTAGTTTGTTCCGTGTGGGAATTTAAAGTCACACGTACTACAAGTATCTTTTCGTGGATAACCGAGCGATATATTGAAATTGTTTCCAAATATTTCTCGGAAGGATTCATAGGAAATCTTGTTTTCAACATTTCCAATAGAATACATTTTGTGTGATTTTGCGATATTTGGATTTTCAGGTAGGTAAACTTTTTGCGAATCTGCCAAAGAATAATGAGATTTGCGGCTCTTAATAAGCTCGGTCACTTTCTGTTTTGTGTTTTCTGAATGTTTGTCGTGTGTTGTGTTTTCTACGCATGTCGATGGGCGATTTCCCTGTTGCAACTAATGAGTCTCTTATCTACCGAACTCGACGAACTGTAATTCCGTGTAAAGACAAAAAAGCCTTAAGACAAACTGGAACGTCACGTATAATTCCATTTTCAACCAATCGGATACGATAACTAAATGGAGCATTATTAAGCCTTGACTTTGCTTCATTTTTTCGAGGGCATCTACGCATGATAGGAAGAACAGTGATAAGACCACTAAGATAAGCGTTTTGTGGATTAGTAAATAAATAAATAAATAAAAACGCCTTTATTTTAAACTCGGCGAAGGCCAGCTATGCTGTTAACTTAACCGAGCATGTAAAAAGTAACAACAAGCCAAAAAGAAAAGTAATATGACAAGAAACAAGTTTTACATTACATTAATTTTAGAATATTACATAACAACAATGAACAATAATAACTACAGATGTACGTATACAAAGAAAATAAGCAATAATAACTCATACTTCACAGAAGCAGTTATTTCAGTTTTCGTTTGAACATATTAGGAGACATATCTTCAAATTGACCTATATAGAAGTTTGACTGATGTATGGGAAAATGAGCTTTGAGTCATGGTTTTAGTTATTTTAGGGATTTCATAAAGTACATTAAAGTGTGTTGCACGAGAGTGAATCAGATTTCTACGAGTTAATTTTTCAATCAGATATGGAGGGCTTTTAGTTTTATTCAATTTATGAAGAAAGCAAGCAGAATGCAGCTTTTCTCGATTGGAAACATTCAACCATTTCAGTTCGGAAGTTTATGACTGACATGATCGTGACGTCTAAGCTAGTAAATAAGTCGTATGCAAGAATTCTGCACTTTTTGGAGTTTATCCTTAGTAAATACATCTAAGCAAGGACCATACACAGAATTGCAATAGTTAAGGTGACGCAAGACCAGTGTTTCGCAGAGAACCTTTTTTAACTTAAAACTAAGAATATCTTTACTTTTGTAAATATTACGAAGATTAAAATAGGCTTTTTGTAGAAGCCTAGACACATGACTTCGGAATCTAAGCTTGTTATCAAAGATAACGCCCAAATTTTTATATTCCTCAACAACCGGTATTGCCACACCATCCATTGTTATCACCAAGTTTACAGTCGCCCAATCTTTAGCTGGCCCAAAGTAGATTATGGCTGATTTATTAGGATTCAATTTCAAGCCATGATTAAAAGAGTATTTAAAAACTGAATCCAAACACTCGTTTAGCCTCCTAGCTGCTTCAATTGCGTCCGACTTAGCAAAAGAAAGATGAATCTGTGTATCGTCAGCGTATCTATGATTGTTCATATCACCAAAGCACTCCGACATATCAGCAGTAAAAATGATAAAAAATAAAGGACCCAAAAGTGATCCCTGAGGCACTCCTCTATCCACGTTCAAGGGTTTTAATTTAAGCCCATCAATTGAGACCGACTGCGATCTGTCATCCAAATAACTACGAATAAGTTGAATAGTCTTAAGTTTAAATCCATAGTAGAAAAGTTTTGCACACGGCAATCCATGGTTCAGGGTATCGAAGGCCTTCTTAAAGTCCAACAACACCAATGCCGAAGTTTCACCCCTGTCCGCAGCCAGAAGAATGTCATCTAGAACCTTCAACAGAGCCGTGGTAGTACCAAACTCTTTACGGAATCCACACTGCAACTTGGGTAATAAATTATTATCTGTGAAATAAGCTATGATTTGCCTATAAATAAGCTTTTCAAATACTTTAGACAGCACTGGTAGTATAGTACTAATTGGCCGCACATCAGAGACATCCTTAGTGTCTTCTAATTCATAAATTCACGAAATAGTCTACTGCGTTCAGGTTCAGGAACAGTGGTAAAACAGCGAAAATGTTCACAAAAACAATCAGATCCAAGTTCGTGGGTAGTGGCGCGCAACGTTTTCCTTTTGTCCCTTTGTCTTCCTGTTCTTTTGCGTTTTTTCGTTTCTCTGTTTGATGAGCCTGGTTCATCTTCACTTGAAACTGAATAGTCACTAACCATTCTATACAAAATCCGTATTACAAACTCATTTAGCGAATATAGTCAATATTCAAAGTATCAGCATATACAACACACTTGGACTATAATAGTAAACTAATGGCTGATGCAATAACG